TTAAAGGGAACCCTTTAATATATTTTTTTAAGCGGGGGCTGCCTGCGCCTGAGCTCCAAGTGGTGAATTTGCTGCTTGGAGTTCAGGGAAGGCATGCAGCCAGCAGCTGCCCCTCTCTCTCACCTCCTGCAAGATTTCAAGGGCCCACTGATCACCTGGAGGGCCCTTTAAATCTTGGAGTAGGGGAGGGAAAGGGGCGGCTGCAAGATTTAAAGGGTCTTCCAGCTGATCAGCAGGTCACATGCTCCCACCAATCAGCTGGAGGGCCCTTTTAATGTCACAGGAGGGGAGGGAGGGAGGATAGGGGCAACAGCTGTTGTGGGGCATGCCTCACATTTGAGGGGGCAGAGCCCCAGAATGCCCCACCGTAGCTACGGGCCTGGATACAGCCCATCGATCTCTGTATTACCTATGAAAATGTACTTTGTATGTGATGGTCTTGGGTGGCATGAAAACTATGCGGTTTTTATTTCCCTGGGGGTCCTGAAAAGCAGACTCCACTCGCTCTCTTTCGCTCCCATCTGCCCACCTCACGCTTTCAGTGGGATTTACCTACTATCTATTCAGCAGCAGTCAGGTGTTTTCCTAAGGAAATTTGGTGGAGAAATTATTCTTTGTTTGGGCCTTTTTCATTCCAGTCCCCTGCATTAAAAGTGGAGACGGCTGAGTAGCTCTTCCACGGATGCAGTGCAGTCACCCGCAGAACTTCTGTGCCCATTGTTTGAATGTCTCCGGTCTTTTCATCCATCGTTTGTCTTGGGTTAAGCAGAAAAACTTGCAGAAGGCATTGATGGAGCAGATCTTTCCCCTCCTCTCTTTCCTGCCGTTAGTCCTGAGACTCCTTCCGGAGGGTTGCTAAGCAAAATGCAACACAGGAGGGGCCTGCAGCAGCAATGAGGAAGAATCTTCTCCCTCTCCTGAGAGCCGCTTGTGTCATGGGAGGAAGAAGCCATTTGACCTGATTGTACTAGTCAAGACTTTTGTCCCCTTGCAGTTCTTAAAGATACACAGGTGTCAGAGAGTTAGTTGAAGTCCTGTAGTGTTCCAGTTGATGTGAGAAGTGTAGGATTACACTGTTAGTCTGCCTCAAGTTTCTCATAACTTCCCTTTCTGGCCCTGCCAGTGGACTTCCTGATGGCACCTGGTATTTTTGGCCACTGTGCGACACAGAGTGTTGGACTGGATGGGCCATTGGCCTGATCCAACATGACTTCTCTTATGTTCTTCACTTGCTGCATTCCTGTCATGTAAGGAGGTTTTTCCCCCCAGAAGCACACCTATGAAACTTCAGACATCTTCATCCATTCTGCCTCAACTACAAAATTTACACGGTTCTTGTTCCTTGTCTGCCTTTGCTTAGTACGTGGGTTTCATAAACATAGATTCACCTCAGCTGTGCCAAGGGAGCTGAGGTAGTGTAGTCTGGTCTCTCAAGACGGGCATTCATCCATCCTATGAGTTAAGTGTTTGCAGCACCGCTTGATGGTTTCCACACAGAAATAAAGCCAGTACATCCTTACCCCGGGAGGCACTGATGTTGCCATTGCCTTGGGCCAAAGCTGGAGTTGTCAAAACAGTCTCATTACCAGTGACTTCCTCTGAAGTCTTTCTTGACTCTGGTTTGTTGAGAATATTAGTGAATCCCCAGGTGGGCTAGTTAAGTTAGCATGTTTGTATTTTCCTATTTCTTATTGGTCAAGAATTTTTTTTTCCATTTCCAGAGTAGAATCTAAAGCCCATGGACAACCTGTCCTTTCACGGGCCTCAGCTACTCAGTATCTGGAGAATCCATGGCATCAAGGACACCTTGATTTAAGAGCAATGAGCCACATCATACATGTTGCTCTATTAGCAACGTTTCATTATTTTGTGTATCTCGTTTTACCTATCTAAGTACAGGGTTAAGCTCTGCAAAACTAAGGCCATCAAGGGACCTTTCGAGGCTTGTTCAGAGCCATTTGGGGGGGGGGGACTGATTTTCTATCACTTCCAGATTTAAATATCTCTCCCTCGCCTACACTTTGGAAAAGAACAAGCTTTCTATATTCCATAAAACTGGGAGGAAAAGTCAACTATTTATAGATACTTCCCAAGACAATGAGTTGGGCTGAACTTTTTGGAACACGTACCCCTGGTCTTGGCTCTGGATTCGCTACATACTCTGTACAAAGGAACTTTCTTTTTAACCTCTCATTGCTTTTCCCTTCTATCCCGTATTCAGCACAGTGTTTAATAGCTGTAGAAGAGCAGCAAATTCAGTCCCTGGCCCTAAGCACTCTGGCATACAATTCAGCATTCTTTAACTTGAAAGAGGTGATAGGATTGCTGTGGGTGAAATGGGTATAACGCCCCATCTCTCTCAACATACATGCCGTTCCTCAAAGCCAGCATGGTTATTCAGTATCCATTTGGGCTTATAAAAAACCTAGCGAGAGTTTGGTCTAGTCTTGATGTAATAGTTCCAGGGTGTGACTTGTGTAACCCCCTTACCTACAAAAACTTTGCATCCAGGTCGATCATCAGCCCAACTCGCTAATTACATGTTGCAGCCCTTGAAAACCTTTCAGAAGTTTCAGCTGATGTGAATTATTGCAACCTGTGTCTTAACTGGTGGTTAGCTGCCAGGAACATATATGAGATGGGTGTTCCCTGGGAAAGACTTTCAGCTCAGTGACAGACTTCTGGCAGAATACCTGCTGTATTCACTAATGGTCTCAGGTTCAATCCTTGGCCACCTAAGAGGCTATTGCATAGTTGGGGTTGAGAGAGAACTGTCTTCCTGAGGCCCTGGAGCAAAAGTCCATCAGTGGCTGTTAGCCACAAGGTATAGATAGGAACTCTCAGGCTGGGGCAAGTGATGCACTGTATTAACCTGCCTGCCCACATCTTCTGAGGCCCTGAGATTAGGTGGGTGGAAACCAGCAAGAGGGTCCTCTCAGTTGTGGCATCAAAAACTCTCTCCCCGGGGAGACCCCTCTATCTCCTTCTGTTGTCCTTGTCCAGCGATGAAGACCTTGCTGTTTTGTTTGGTGTCCCCTCTGTTACTCTTTCTTCTTGCCCAGTGTTTTAATGGTTGCTTTTATATTTTTGTTGAATTTTAGTTCTGCTTTTAATTGTTTTGATGATTTTGTTGGTTTTAGTGGTTCTTAAGATTTGTTTTTATTATGTGCAAATTGATTTATTCCCCAGCTTCTGAGGGTAGGAAGCTGGGGTATAAACATATATGTATATGTACTAATGGTTCCAGATTTAATTTTTAAAAGTCTGAATGAGGTGCACCTCTCTCGCATGGCCCACCCAACAATGGCCTTCAAAGCAGCTTACAACAGTAGTAGAAACAAGATCAGCACAAAGAGTGTGATTGCAGTATCCTCTGAGGCATGGTGGGTAAGGGGTGCGCTTACCTGTGCAGCCAGGAAGCTCCCTGATTAACTCGCAGGATTGCTGTGAGGGTAAAGGAGGCAGGAGAGAACCATCCTTGGAAAGGTGGCATAAATAGAACCAATAGGAAGCTGCGCCAAGAGTTGCCAAGAGTAGTTCTTGGAATTACAACTTTCCATATTGCAGAGATCAGTCCTCCTGGAGAAAATGGCTGCTTTGGAGAGTGGGCCCTTTGGCATGATATCCTGCTGAGCTCCCTCCCCTCCCCCAAACCCCACCCTCAAATCTCTGGGAATTTCCCAACTCAGAGCTGGCAACCCTGGCTGTGGCTGTTATTGATGTGTTTATATTCTGTCAGTCACCTTGTTCGTATTGCAAGAAAAGCAGGGCGGCAGAGTATTTTAAATAATCCAGTGGCAGTATGTTGTCGGGTATCAGTTGCAAAGAACAATAGGCTTATTTGGGGGATTCATTTAGGGAATGTCAGGCTCTAGTCTATTGTTACTCCGCTGGTATCAAACAGAGGCCTCCTCCTAGGCACACTATTCCCCCCCCAACATCCCCAGCAGTTCTGTCTTCAGCTTGACAGAAAGCCTGCGGAATTCTCTTCATGCTTGCTGCTGTGTGCGTTGGGGACTCGAATCCCACATTACCTTGGCAGTGAGCTATAGCAGCTCACAGATGCTTCCTCCAAAGCAGCAGAAGAGGCAGGAGAAGGGAGATGAACTGCTGTGGCCAGAAAGGCCTGGTCTCTGTGCCGTTCCCATGACTGGCATAGTAGTTTGGGTGGTCACGGTCCTCCGCCGCTGAGAGGAAAGTGCCTTTGGCTCCTCCTGGTGCAGGATATTCTACCTCCCTGGAATGTTGTGCCTCCTTCAGATATCTCCCACCCTGCCAGGAGGGGGGAGGAATCACTGCATTGTTCCAGAACCATGCCTTTAGCCTGAACACGTCCAAATGTGTACTGTCCCATCTGTTTGGAGCGAGCTCTTTCGAAACACCGCAAGAGCTGCCTTCAGACCCTCCCCCCCCCCCGTGGGTGGAAGGCTGCCACATCTCCCTCTTTTGCCAAAATACCTTTTGCAGTTCACTACTCTCCCATATCTACTCCCCAGTAGCTGAAGCACGTTGGTTTTTTGCTTCTGTGTTTTTGCGAGCCGAGGAGGGGCTTGAGGAAGCGAACTTCGTCAGCTTAGTTGAGTAGGGAGGGGATCTGGGGTTATTGAATTCTTCTAGCTGCTCCCAGGATGCAATCTTATGTCAAAGATGTAGAGTCTAAGCTGGGGTGGAGAGTTTGGGCAGTGGGAATGAGAATCCAGAAGTGGGGGAGAAGGTGAGAACTGTTTGTATGAAGTGATATGGGGGGGCGGGGCACGGAAAGGAGTTTGGACAGCGGGTGAGCTGTCCAGTGCCAGTTTTCCTCTCTCCCCGATGACTGCAACCCAGCAGAACAAGGCTGTGGCTTTCAGACAAATCTGGCCAAATTCTGAAGTGAGAAACAAGCTCTGGGCATCAATAATGAAGTGGTTTTGGCAGAAGCTGTGGGAACCACGGGGCCATGCAGCATGCATATTTAACAAACAAAGTCTCGCTTGTGTTTGGCATTTTTATACGCTCAGGTGGATTTGCAGCTGCAGTCACCACCCCTCTGGATGTAGCCAAGACGAGAATTATGCTGGCAAAGGTAAGAGGTAGAAGAACAGCACAGAGGCTGACTGACGGGTTTGCGGGTGAAGTGTGCTAGCCCTTTCCCTGGTAGCAACAAAATTGAGTTTGGCGCCTTCTGTCAGTCCCCTTTTCTTGTACGTTAGAGTCAGGTGGGCATGCACACTCAAAAGCCCATACCTTGAATAAACCTTTGTCGGTCTTAAAGGTGCCACTTGACTCTAAATTTGTTTTACTGCTTCAGGCCAACACAGCTGACCACCTGGATCTATTATATATTCAATTTCAGTTCCCTTCCCAATAATACCTAATATAGAATTTGTGCTTTTCACCACTACCACACATAGAGCCTGTGTTTTCATTTGGCCTGTCCACTGTGACCACCAATATCTCCTTCCTGGTCAGTCACCACAAGTTCAGAACCCACCCGTGTCTGTTGAATGTTAGAACTTCTCACTCCATGGTGCATCACTGTACACTTACATTGAACCTCCTTCGCCACTTTGTTGCCTTGTTGAATCCAGAGAGAACATTTTGCAGCTCTTTACAATTCAGTTTGGTTTTCAAAACCCTGAATAATTGGGTCACTTCACTGCTCACCCCTGATTCCAGATAATTTATGGGAAAAAATTAATGTTAGTGGTCATAATACAGAGCCTCCACTGCTTAGCTTACTTTACTCCTACCCTCTGCTGCTGTCATGTAACTGGTTACTAACTCACAAGATGACTTACTTTCATATCCTGTTTCTGCTGCGTTTACACAAGAGCCCATGGTGAAGGGCTTTATCAAAAGCTTTTTGAAAATCCAAATGTGTGATTTATACCAGGAGACTGTTATCTCCCTACTTGTTAGCAGTGTCAAAGAACTTCAAAACGCTGGTGAGGCAGGACTTCCCCTCACAAAAGCTCTGTTGATTCTTCTCACTAGGGCGTGTTCCTCTTTATATGCTTAATAGTTCTGTCTTGAATAACTGTTTCCACCAATTTACCCAGAACAGATGTTAGGATAAATGGCCTGTAGTAGCTTGGATTCCCCCAGGATTGTGTTTTTAAAATCCGCATTATTTTTGCTACTGACCGGTCCTACAGCAGAGAGCTTGGTTTTAGTGATAAGTTGCATGTTAAACTGATTTAAACCTAGATCTTCCTAATTCAGTTGCAATATTAATTTTCCTGGGCCTGGTGGTTCTTCATTAGAATGTGTAGAGAAATGTGCCATGCTTCCAGAGTGCTACACTGAGAAAATCTGGATGAGAATCGGGACCCTGAAGTTCAGAAATGTGCCAGACAACCAGACCACCTCCCTTATTCATTCAGTAAATGCCTTTAAACAGTCATGGGGAGCCATCCCATGTCTTGGAAAAAGTGTCACTCATTTATTAACATATTCTTAATTTGCTTTTCAATGTAAAGAATTAACACAGTGGCTAACACATAATTACAGTAGCGCAAATTTAAGCTGGTTAAATTGCAGCGCTAAAACCGGTTACAACGCTCAGATCCTTTTAAAATCACAACAGATGTCGAAATCATGAAGAAATGGAGGAGAAGAATGAAAACTGAATCAGCCAATCCAGAAAGACATTTGAAACAGCTTCATTACACATTGGATTTCTATACCGCCCCTTTCCGTAGACTCGGGGTGGTTTACATAGTTTGTACAGTTTTTCTAACTTAGGGGCACATAGACAGGGGAGGTGAATTCCTTACCCAGGCACCCTCTATTTTCGGCAGGGTCTTCTTTTCTTCTTAGCTTTTTTCCACGGCGGTTCTTGCTTGGTGCTGGCGATATTTTTACTGACGCAGGTCTTTTCAGGTCTTTGCTAGACGCAGGCGCAGGTCTTCCATTCAAACCCTCTTCTGATTTTAAAGATGCCAAATAACTCTTCGACTGAATGTTTTCTTGCTGAATGTTGCTCCGGACTGGAGATGTTTTCCCCGAAATACTTTGATGGTTGACTTTTAATAGCGTAATAAGGAGAACGGTTGTTTCCCCCCTTATCTGTGGGCCCATAGTGCAGTGGTAGAGCATATGCTTGCATGTGTGTATGTTCTCAAGTTTAATCCCTTGCTGTTAAAGAATATCAGGTGGAAGAGCCGGTTAAGACCTCTGCCTAAGACAAGAGAGGTATTGTCAGAGAATAGACAGTCGTGTGGTTCATCAGAGGTCAGACATAGTATAGGAAGCAACTTCATACACACTTTTTCTTTCTTCTGTTCCAGACTGGCTCTAAAACTGCAACCGGGAATGTACTGCCAGCTCTCTATGGAGTGTGGAGAACCCAAGGGGTACCTGGGTAAGAATTAGTGGAAGGGGGAAAAACAATGAAGAATGATGCCTGGGCCTGTTTGTTTGCTCTTTAGAAACTACTTTGCTTAATGAAGATGAATAATAAAATCATAGAGTTGGAAGGGGCCACACAGGCCATCTAGTCCAACCCCCTGCCCAATGCAGGATAAGAACATAAGAGAAGCCAATGTTGGATCAGGCCAATGGCCCATCTAGTCCAACACTCCATACACATGTATGTCTTTAAAAGAAGAATGTTCTAAGGGCCTGAGAGAGTCTTGCTAGAAGGAAATACTACTAGCATCAGTCTGATAACATCCATTGGGTTTTCTCATTTGGGTGACCTCATGTAGAATAATAAATTTATAGAATTACAAGGCCCATGTTTTCCAAGTTACTTGTTGTCTTGGAGGAGGAGATGGGCAAGACCTGACTTTGCCACGGACCCTGGAGAACCACTTCCATCCAGCAGAGATAATACTTAGATGGACTTGAAACACAACAACCCTATGTGGTAGGTTAGGCTGAGAGTTTGTGACTGCCATGGAAGCTTGCTGGGTGACCTAGGGCTAAGTAGTGGTTCAAACCTGGGTCTCCCAGATCCTAGTCTGACTCTTTAACCACTACACCACACTGGCTTCTTTATCCTATCAAAGCATGTTTAGGCAATTCAAATTTATTGTAACTAAATTTAACTCCGATGTTACACACACACACACATACATATTCCTGACAGCTGGTAAAAGAGCTTCCTCCAATCAAGCTCAGAATGGTGCAGCCAGACAAATATATTCCACTGGGTTGCTATGAGGACAGGACTTTCTGGTGGTTGGCTGGGCTGCCATGACGGTGGTGGAGATGGCTTGATGGGTTTCGATAGTTCTATATTATATTATGTGCTTGAGTTTTGGAACTCCATTTGGAGAATGGAACCACTATTCCGTTAATGTCATGCAAATGGGGAAATGGGTGTAGGAATGGGGTGGGCCAGATAAGGGAAAGGCTTAGCTAATCCGAGGGAATTGCCTGGGTGAGTGTCTGATTTGGTAAACGCTTTATTGAGTGATGGAGCCATTCCAGTTGCCTGGAAGGAGGTGCTTGTGAGGTCCCTCCTAAGAAAACCCAGAAGGTTTAAACAGTTACTGGGCAGCAGAATCAGGATACAGGATGATCTTGACAGGCTAGAAAACTAGGCTAAAACTAACAAAATGAATCTCAGCAGAGATCAATGTTAACGTTTAGGTAGGAAAAATCAAAAGCATAATTACAGGATGGGGGAGACTTGTCTTGGCAGTAGTACATGTGAAGAGGATCTAGGCCTCTTATCTGAAGTGGTTAACCTTGTAGGTTTCAACTTTTTCCATTTAGATGACATTCTTGTAGATGTATTACGCTGTATTGTACATTAATTTAAAATTAATAAAGATGATTTTTAAAAAGGATCTAGGGTTCTTAGTAGACCATACACTGAACATGGGTCAGCAATGTGATGCAGTAGCTAAAAAGGCAAATGTGATTTTGGGCTGTATAGTGTATAGTGTCCAGATCACACAAAGTGATGGTTTCGCTTTTCTCTGCTCTAGTTAAACTTCACTTGGAGTATTGTGTTCAGTTTGGAGCACCACAGTTTAAAAAGGATATAGACAAGCTAGAACGTGTCCAGAGGAGGGCAACAAAGATGGTGAGGGGTCTGGAGACCAAGTCATATGAGGAAAGGTTGAAGAAGCTGATTATATTTAACCTGGAGAGGAGATGAGTGAGAGGTGATATGATAACCATCTTCAAGTACTTGAAGGGCTGTCATACAGATTATGGAGCAGAGTTATTTTCTGTTGTTCCAGAAGGTCAGACCAGAACCAATAGATTGAACAGTGGAACAGGCTTCCTCGGGAGGTGGTGGGGTCTCCTTCTTTGGATGTTTTTAAACAAAGGCTAGATCGGGGTGTCAAACTCATTTGTTATGAGGGCCGGATCTGACATAAATGAGACCTTGGTGGGCTGGGCCATGTGTGTCATAAATGTTATGCCAGGTAGCGGAGATACAAACTTTATAAAGGACACAAAAAAAGGGGTTTTTTTTACTTAAAATAAAAACATGCTTGAAACATTAGCACTCTTGCAATATTTTGTTTATTTAACAGTGTCTGATAACTGACACCTCTTGCTCTGAATTATTGCATCAAAATTTCTGTGCTGTTGTAATCTTGAGTATGCTGTTCAGGTGTGTATCTGTAAGCTGCAAACCTATGATGATGCAGCAGCAGCAGCAGCAGCAGAACTGGAAGAAGCAGAAGACAGCCAGTTCCACTGCGGGCCTGATAGAAGCTCTCCGGGAGCCTGAACCGGCCCCCGGGCCACATGTTTGACACCCCTGGGCTAGATGACCATCTGACAGCAATGCTGAGTCTGTGAATTTAGACAGACCATGAGAGGGCGGGCGGGAAGGGATGAGCCAGTGCTCAGCTCTCCTGGCCCTTTCTTACATGCCCCAAGATATTACCAAATGCCACTTTGGGGTCACGAAGAGCCCAGGGATCCTGGAGATTTTTTACCTTCCTCTGGGCATAGAGCAGGGGTCACTGGGGGTGTGTGTGTAGTTGTGAGTTTCCTGTGTTGTACAGGGGGGTGGACTAGATGACCCTTGAGGTCCCTTCCAGCTCTATGTTTCTATGTGTGTACTGATATCATTTTGTTTTATATCATTGTGATCCTACTGACTGTATTTTACAGCCATTTCCATCTTGCCAGGCTCCAGAGATACGGCTGTGTCAGTTTGCCACTTTGACAGTTTCCTCCTTTCCCCTGCTGCCTGTGCCAATTGCCAAAAGTACAGCTGAAATCAAAGCTGCGAGACAAAGGAGGGGAATGCCCAAGTATCAAAAGGCTGTAACCAAGATTCTTGCCAAAGGAATTGCTAGGTATTAAAGTATAGGAAGTCGGATCATGATGTTCTCTGTGATCTTAATGCATTTCATTCAGTTTAACTGAAGCATTTTGGGACTTGGCCAGAACTATAGACAGGAATCTGGCTGAGATGGATGATGAAACTGACCTGTTAATGGCTACAGTCCTAAATACATTTGGAAATAAATTACACTGAAATCAGAGGGAATTCAGAGTAATCATAGCTAGAATCTAGTTGTAAGAGTCCAATTTTCTATTACGGGAATGATTTGTGATCAGCTCCTAATGCTTTCTTAAATATGGGAGAGAGAGCCACTGGGGAGGATAGGATTTGGGGCTGGATCTTAGGGTTATCCCTTCCTCTAGTTTTGTTTCCCGGTTAGAAATCACACCTCCAGATTTGTGCCTGCTGTATGAGCCAAGGTAAGGGGAAGAGGTGGCCCTTCTGCTGCTGGCATGGGATAAGTTCTGTTTGGAAAATCGCTTGGGAAAGGTGGAACAGGTTAATGCTTCATCCCATGCTGTAGCACAATCCAAATCTGGGTTCCTCTATGGCTGTTAGATATGCTGTCCTGTCTGAAAAGTGGTCATAGTTTGAACTGAACATAGTCATGACTGATTCTCTTACAAAGGGAGAACTAAATGTTAAATTGCTGAATGCGAATTCATTAACACATTCAAGATAATGTACCCCACCCTCAATGTTTAATAATCACCTGGGTTTCGGTAGGTGCTAATACCTTGTATGTCTTGTCTCTTACACATTATACCTCTTCAGCTGTTCTTTTGTTAACTTCCTATTATATCTGCTTGTCTCACTTCCTCCTACACTAGATTTTACATTTTGCTTGTCTAAAACCATTTGGGAGTATCTTGTGTACATTCCTACAAACTGATTACTCTTTAGTTTGGATCTTGTGTTGAATTGGCCTCTTTGTAATATCCCTCCTAAGCCCACCTTTCTGTTGTATCTGTCCCTTATATATATAAAGCTGTCACCTCCAACGTTCGATGCGCACCAACAGTGTTTGGCCGCACGAACTGTCACTCAAAACCTTCCCCAGCTTTCCCTATCCATTGGCTGCATCGCCTAAGTCCCACCCCAGAACACAGACACCGCAGCCCTGCCTCTGCGCCCGGTCCCCTCAGAAGACAGACTATTGCCGACAGGGTGAGTGGAGCCTTTGAAGGAGCAGTTGAAGGGCGGTGACGGTGGCGCTGCATCGGCTGCTGCAGGCCCATTTTCACCGCTCCCCCCCAGCTTCACAGCCCTTCGGGGGAGTAGTTGAAGGACGGCAGCGGTAGCGCTGAGCCGCCCGCTGCGTGCCCGTTTTCAGTGCCCCCCTTCCACGACCTTCGGGGGGAGCAGTTGAAGGGCGGCGGTGACGCTGAGCCAGCCGGCGCAGTCCTGTTTGCCGCCTGCACAGGTCGTCGGGGGCAGCAATTGAAGGGCGGCGGCAGTGCTCAACCAGCCACCGCAGGCACGTTTGCGCCGTTTCCCCACCACCACTTAGTGGCCCAACGGGGGGAGCAGTTGAAGGCCGGTGGTGGCGGCGATGGGCCGGACGCCGCAGGCCCGTTTGCACAGTTTCCCCCACCGCCTTCACAGGCCTTCGGGGGGAACAGTTGACGGGTGGCCTCAGCAGCAGCGGCGCTGAACCAGCCGCTGTATGCCCGTTTGCGCCACTTCCACCCCACACACACACTTTGCGGGCCGACGGGGGAAGCAGTTGAAGGCCGGCTTCAGCGGTGGGGGCGCTGAGGCAGCCACCGCAGCTCCGTTTGTGCCGTTACCCCCCCCCCAGCTTCACGGGCCGTCGGGGTGAACAGCTGAAGGGTGGCGGCAGCGGAGTGGCGCTAAGCCGACCGACCAAGACCCGTTTTCGGCACTCCCCACCCCCACCCCAGCCGGCTATACAGGCCTCCGGGGGAAGCAGGTGAACACTCCAGTCACACCTTTGAGACGAAGTTTTTAGGCAACTGCACACTACACCTCCTCTGTGAGGGAGAATCTGCACATTTCAACCCCCCCCCCAAAAAAACACTCCAGTGCCCCCTTTCAGACCACATTTCCTTCAGGTACATGTTCACCCTCCTTTGCGA